AGAAGAACTCTGACGAATCTTGTGTATACAAGAAGGTCAGTGGGAGTGTAATAGTATTCCTAATCTTATATGTCGATGACATATTGTTAATGGGTAACGATATTCCCGCTCTCACTTCTGTAAAGACGTGGTTGAGCGAGAACTTCTCCATGAAAGACTTAGGGGATGCTAGTTATGTCCTTGGCATAAGAATCTACCGAGATAGATCAAGAAAGTTAATAGGTCTGAATCAAAGTACATATATAGATAAAATCCTTGATTGATTTAGCATGTCTAACTCAAAGAAAGGATCTTTACCTATGACACCTGGCACGGTTCTTTCCAAGAGCCAGAGTCCTTCTACTCCCGAGCAGAAGGAACTCATGATGAAGGTTCCATACGCTTCTGCGATTGGATCCATCATGTACGCCATGATATGTACTAGACCTGATGTCTCATTCGCTTTAAGCGTGACCACCAGATACCAGGGAAGTCCAGGAGAAGCACACTGGACAGCGGTCAAGAACATTTTCAAGTATCTTCGCAATACTAAGGATGCATTCCTGGTATACGGTGGTGAGGAAGAGCTAAAGGTGGTCGGTTACACTGATGCTAGCTTCCCAATCGACAGAGACGATTCAAAATCACAAGCAGGATATTTGTTTTGCCAGAATGGCGGAGCTTTTAGCTGGAAGAGCTTCAAGGAGGATACAACCGCCGACTCGACTACAGAGGCTGAGTACATATCTGCTGCCGAGGTAGCTAAAGAAGCTGTTTGGATCAAGAAGTTCATTACTGAACTAGGAGTGGTTCCTAGTATCAATGACCCTATCTCGTTGTTTTGCGACAAAACTGGGGCCATTGCACAGGCAAAGAAACCACGATCTCACCAGAAAACCAAACACATTGTACGACACTATCACATCATATGAGAAATCGTAGACAGAGGAGATGTGATTATTTGCAAAGTGGATACTGACGAGAACATAGCCGACCCCCTGACCAAGCCTTTGGGAAAGCTAAAGCATGAGGGTCACACAAAGTCCATGGGCATTCGACCGATGCCAGATTGGCCATAGTGCAAGTGGAAGATTGTTGGAGTTGTGCCCTGATGGCCAACTATTTATCGTTATTCTATCATGTATAGGCAGATATAATATGTTTACACATCTCATGCTAATGTAAACAAATATTATATTCCTAGATTTATATTTAAAAGATGTTTATCAGATAGTGTTCTTCTGCTGATGAGACTAACATCTTGAAATAAATATTTATCTAAATGTCCATAGTCGAGTATTAACGAGAGTGGGATGTTGTTAATGCATGTGAGACTAGTGTGTGTTGGATGTTTGACTTAGTCTCATAGTCAATGACGGTGTGTTCGCATCCGCACATGGGCAGATATTATCTAGAGATAATAGGATGCCGGACCGACCCATCCTAAAGATGTTGCTTGAACTTTTAATTCATGCTCTAAGCAATAGAATATAGAGATTATATCATTTCAAAGTACAGAACATCAATGTTTTACAAATTTCGAAAGACTTCTTTATATACTACATTATGTGTAGTATTTGTTGGAGTATCGTCTTCATTGCATATTAGAATCTTCAATCCACTACGATTAGTTACTCTTGAAACTGCAACATAGAGCTGTCCATGACTAAACACAGGTTTCCGTAACAGTAGTCCAACATGTTTCAGAGATTGTCCCTGGCTCTTGTT